TAACGAGTGACCAAACCGTATACAATAATTCGTCGCTTTCTTTTTGAACTCGTCGGTATGATATCACTGGATAGAAATTATTGAGAAGTAATAAATTTATTATTTGCTTTGCGTGGGTTATACTTGAATATACTTAAAACTGAGGAAAATATTGCAATTTTGGGACAAAAAATTCTCGACGCGCGTGGCACGTTATTCCAGCGCAAGAGGTTAACTGGTAAAATCGAGGCCGTGACGCAAATGTGCTCAAGGGTTGAAGGACATACGGTGGACGCTTCGATGGACACGCGCAAACAGATCCTTCGACTAATTTAAACTGACCGATAAATCGCCGCCGTAAAACGGATGAATGACGAATGTCTCGTTGCCTAAGTGAATAACACCGCTGACACCGTTACACGTGTGAAAAGCAGCGCTAGCTCCTGGATAATCCCTCACGGTACCGTGATAGTAGCAGTGCTCTATCTCCTGCAACCATGCACATCGCGAAACACCGTCAATGAATGACTCGTTCGATCAGTCTCGGATTTATTCGTTCACGAGGATCGGCTAAAAAATTTCTCCACCATCCGCGATCGTCGATTGACGTCGACAATAACGTTCCACGTTGTATTTTTTTTATCATCTCGATCCATTGTTCGGCCAATCGACGAACTGGAACTCGTGTTGTTTTGAAACTCACTGTACCATTCGTGAGCCGTTTATTTTGGAAGTGGCGTGAGTCACTTTTGTTTTCGAATCAAAGGATTTGCATTTGTATTTAACACGAATAGAAAAATCGATGTTAAAGGGATATTCTGGTAATCCGACTTAAAAGAAATCGATTTTTTCAGATTTTCTCAAAGTATATACTTTCGAGAATATCTATGTAAAAGGATTTGTTTGAATTCGTAAAATTATAAGTGTTTAAAGGAAACGGTGTACTGCTCGCAACGTAAGTATGAATATTTTTGTACAATGAGTAACAGAAACTTTAAATGTGTTTTTCTCAAATCCATACTTTTTGAACTGGCTGACAGGATATCTCACGTTTTAGTTGACCGATTGATTTGAAATTTCGAGGAGATCTTCACCGGGTGTAGCTTTATTGCATGTACCACCGATTTTAAAATCTGATGTTTTTTTCTACTTTTTTTTTTACTATCCAAAAGACGAAAAGCACAAGGAAAATCGATATTTTAACTTCAAAATGCTGTCATTTTTTTTTAATTTTCGAAATTTCGCTGTTTCTGTGGTTCATGCCATAGCCATATTTGTACTGATTAAGATGTTTTTTGGTTTTTTAGTTTCAAATAACCTGGTGGACCGGAACCACGTCAGCCATTCGAACCCGTTTTTAAAAACATGCTTCACCTAAAGCTATATAATTTCCACAACTTTCATTAATTTCGTTAAAAAAAAATTATAAATACTCTTTAAGTATGAATAAATCTTTGGTGTGCGAAAATTGCATACCAAAATGTATCATGGTTTCCTTAGAAAAAAATTCCAAAAAAGTCGATTTTTTTCAAGCCGAATTACCAGAATACCCCTTTAATCTTCTGAGAAGATTTGCTTTTGTCATTTCAGTTATTTAAATATTTTTCAACATGAATGATTTCGTTGTGAATAGAGACGTCAATGAATCGTCATTTTTTGTCATTGTAAGATGATTTAAAGAATGCCGCGATTTTCAGAATGCCGAAAAATGCATCAAGAACTTTTGGTGTTTTGAATATCAATATTCTTCGAGAAACACGCAGGAAATTCAATTTTTTCATTGTTGTAAATATTATTAAATAGATCCAAGTAACAGTGGAACGTAAGAAGAACGTAACTATATCAATGACGATGAAGAATTGTCGATAATTTAAACTGATATGACTTCATAAAGAAAGATCTCTCGAATAACGATCTCTCTCATTTTAGTGCTGTAAGTTGTATCAAAGTGAAAAGTATCGAGCTAATTTGATGTAGTTTGAAAAGATTCGAGGAAAAAGTATAAAAATTCTGTGAGAAAACGATAATTACAAAATTAAAAAGAAAAACAAACATATTAACAAGTGAAAAGAGAATAAGTTAATGTAGCCAGCGATATATCGTTGTTCGACTATAAGGTCAGCATGAAGCTTCTATTTTGAGTTGTACTTCTACTTGAGCTTCTACTCGAGTTTATTTTTTTCGAAGATGATTTTACATCATGTAGCGAGTGAGAAAGTGAAGATATTTTTTTCTCGAAAATTGTCAAAATTCAAATAGGTATAAGAATACTAAGAAATTTTTTTTCATGACTAAATCTATAATGTCTTGAAGATGGAAATTTTTTTTTAAAACTCGCTGTACGTTTTTGTCCCACGTTTTATTGAACATCAGGTTTAAACGACAAAAATTCGAGGAATCTTCAGGAAAATTTAAAATTCAATCGAAGTTCAATTTTTAAAGAACTTCAATCTTCAAAATGATGATGAGAAAGGAAGAATTCAATCTTCAAAATCTAGTTCGAAGAAAATTTTAGATTGCAGAGCGAGGAAAATTTTTTTAATGTTCTTACGTTTGAATTTTGACAATTTTTGAGAAAGTAAAATAGAGATTCGCGATTCTCAAAAGATAAAGGTTTAAAATAAGATTTAAATAAGACAGTTATGTGATGCTTTTTTACGAAGTTGTATCAGTTTCGACAATTATCGACAATTTGCAGAAGGTGATGGTAATTTCATGGAAAAATAACTATGTAACTTAAAGATAGAGAATGAAGATGCCTTTTAATTTTGAGCCAAAAGCGTCTTCGAATGAATTCTAATCTAAGTAGTTAATTGTCTTCCTGTTCATATTTTATTTAAGAGAAGGTAAAAACTTTTCAGCCCATCCTCGTATTTTCTAAATATATATAATTTAGCAGTAAATATAATTGAACAAATAATGATAAAAAATTGTATAATTAATGATACATAATTATATATAATATATAATTAATTTACATAACTAACAATATAATATATAATTAAACATTTATAATAATTTAAATCAACGACCATAATTATTATAATCGCGAAAAAAGGTTATAGAATAACAGTTATCTTTTCGACTAAAACTTTGCTTACAAATAACTATTATAAATTATCGAAAGTTTGTTCCGGTGTCGATTATTATCGATGAGGGAAATTTATTTTTGTCATTCGTAACAGTTATCGATGAAAGAAATTTATTTTTGTTAATTTGTAACAGTTATAAAGCGAGGGAAGCTCTATTTCAGTTGCTCGTAATAGTTAAAATTTTACTCGTTAAAATTTTGGTTTTTCTTTTCGTCAATTTTCATGTGATTTACGTCAGCTAGTAATTTTAGAAAATATTTTTAAAATATGCCTGAGTATTGAAGTATACAATCGAGAAGGGAATGATTCCACATGAAAAAAAAATATGTTAAAAATGAAAAACAAAATTTTCTCGTTCAAGTCATTATTTTGGAAAAAGTCAAGCTTGAAAATTGATCAGATATATTTGAATCTCGCTGGTTTAACTGCACAGGGATGATTGAATCGATAGGAGGTTATTCCACCTACGAAAATAAGTGAAAAATGTCAAATAAAATTTTTCCATTTTCACGAAAACAGAGTTTGAATATATTTAGTTAAAAATTGGTTTTAACAACGTAATTAATAAAATAAGTAAAGTACGTTTAGTACTTAAAATTGGTTTAAAAATTTGATACAGTTTTAAATCATGTTTTCTCAAAAACGAAGCGTCTTGCGAAAAAAATTGTATTCTACACTTTTTTGACTTATCTTCACAAGTAGAATAACTTCCTGTTCACTATTTATTGTTGGTCAGTCAATAATTAACTTCAAGTATAGTTGATAAACTTTCGAACTTGATTTTCTTGAAAAGGAAGCCTTAAATGAAAAAAAAAATTCAATATAATGTATACCCTGTTTAATACATTATGTTATTATGTTCCATCGTGGTAGAGTTTCTTTTATCGATAACTATTAATTTCTAATTCCTCAACAATTATAAGAAATAGAATTCTTCTCGTCCATAATGATTTGCAGCAATGAAAAAAAAATTTTCAATCGCTTATTTGTAACCAAAAATTTTGAAAATTATAATTCTTCGACCTATGTTCTTCTTTGAAAAATTCTCATTATATTTTTTGATCAATATTTTTTCGATTGATATAATTTAAATAATACAAATTTCTGTTGACTGACTTTTTTTTTCATAAAATTTTTTGAGACAACCGTTATTCATGGTCGCTGATTTAAATTGTTACAATTTCGCGAAAAAGGAAAAGAACTGTATAACAATCCAAGATCTGGTTTCGTTGCAAAGCGTAAAGTTTCTTTTAACTGTTCTGAGTTTATTTTCGCAAAAGTACTTTTATTCTCTATGTTTTTATTTTTTTAAAAAGCGGACAATTTTTTCCACTTTATTTCAAAGCTTTTCATTTTATGATGGAATGTGGAATAGAGCATTTTTGAAACTTGCTGTACGATTTCTTTTAATTTTTTCGAACTATTTCATTGAATCTTGAACGAAATATAATATTAAAATTTAATCCTAATACTCAAAGTTTCAATAAAATAATAAGAAAAAATTGTGCAGCAAGTTTTAAGAGATAAGTGTAAAAAAGAAGCTTCAATCTTTAAAATTGTGATAGAGTTAGTCATGAAAAAAGTTTTTCAATGTTTCTAGAGACCTGTTTTAATTTTTATTTTTTTTCGAGAATCCTTACTTTCCCACCCGTTACATGGAGTGAAAATATTTTTGAAAACAAAATTCGAACAAGACAGTCGAAGTGAAATCTTCACGCTTTGAAATGAAACCGAATAAGTTGTTGTACAATTTTTTTTCTCTGCAATTCTATTTTTTCATTGTATGTCCATTTACGTTTCTCGCCGTACATATATTCCAGAATTTTTGATAAATAATTACCTGTTTAAAAATTTGTTCCGCGTCGTTGGGTAAAAAGTCTTTTTGCATAAGATTCGGAGCTAAAAGTTGCCTGCAACACAGAATGCTCTTGCTACAAGTGGATCGATAATTGCTTTCTTTTCATCGTAGGGGAGATTAACTGAGGCTAGTTAGATTGCGGATCTTTATGTAAATTTATACTTCTAAATATATTCAATAGCTTCGATAATACGACTTTGGCAAAAAGTTGCTTTATGCATATTAATAATGTTACAGGATACATGCTACACTTTACACATTTCATTTTTACTCTTTGTGATTTCCTATAAATCTATAAAAATCCGCAGTCTACTAATGAGATTGTTGATTGATGTTTGTTATTCGTTTAATTTTGATTATTTCAGACGATTAATTGGATAATTGTCTCTGAATGTTGTATCAGTAGAGTATATAGTGCTTCTATTCTTTTCCAACTTTTCATTCATAAAATGAATATATATATATATATTATGTGAAATGATTAATAGCACTATCATTGAAAATTCCATTATTTCGTCTCCACATTCATCTGTTTCGTGTCCATACTTTGCGACATTAAAAATCGTAAAAATTAGAATTATAATAAAATTCAAAGTGATTCTAGCTTTCTATTGTTTCGTATATTCTATGATTTTTAGTGCTGTACAGTGTATCATAAATAGATTGCGGATTTTTGTGCACTCGTAAGCAACTTGAAAATTGCACATAGTGCGCATAATACGAATAACTATAAAATATCTAAATCATAATTTTTGCAACGTGTACAACAGTTTCTACTTTAGAAATATAAATTTGCATAAAAATCTGCAGTCTATTCGCTAACAATCGTTAGTTCACAAATTTTACACTGGAATAAATAACTACGATAAAAATCATTTTCCCTTGCAAGTGAACAAAATCCATAATTATAGAATTACTTCACAATTATGCCTGTTTTATACTAAGGCTTGTTTTATACTTACTAAAGAAAAGAAATAAAAATTCTCAATCTCTGTTTCCTTCGTATTCAAATTTACATTTATAAAATGGAAGAATGCTTTAGATAAACATAGATAATATTGTACTTATTTTATTTGATATTCATTTAGTTACTTAAACAATCAGTTACTCATTTACTTTACAGTTAAATAAATCAGTCTCTCAAGAGTACTATAGTAATGGAGTAAGATTATGTTCGGTGCTTGTATTACAAAATCGTTCGCGGAACGATTCGTTTGTAAAAATTAGGCACATTGTGAAAAAAAGATTCGTGAAAGTGAAAAAATTGTTCGACCAGCGCCTCTAGTCTCCTCCTATGTTACTCTTAACCGAAAACAACGATGCACTTACGTATTTAATTCTAAATCTAGGCGAAATTTATGATTAAAGGCCTTGATCAAGAGGGACGTCCGATGAAAGTGTCTCCCCGTCTGCAAAATGCAATGAAAACTCGTCTCGTCAAGCGTTCTCGTCGAGAACTTTGCCTAACGTTAATCGCTGAACGTTAGAAAACTTGCGTGCACTTACTCTCATTCTGCCTTTAGCATTCTGATATCCACCCTCCCCGTATCCTCTTTGAGGATACTAAAACGTGAGAAAATTTCAAAGTTAAGCGAAGTATAATATCGGTGATCGGGGATCGAACGGAACTGCGAACTTTCACGGATCAAAGGTTGTTTGTTTCTCAATTTTTAGTTTTCGCGTCATTTTTCGCTTGTACGTTTCAATTTTTGAACCTCGACATTGTTCCAACAGTTATTGTATTGTGTATCCGATTGTTGGAAGTTCTGGTGGATCATATATTTTTGAATAGGTATTTCAATATTATAAATGATGTAACATTTGTGTATGTAACATAATAATATAATAGAAATTATGTAATGAAATGCATATATATTAATATAAATAAATATATACATATATATAGTATATAAGTTGATAATATATAAATAATATAAATATATAAAAATATATAATAATATATAAATAATATAAAAATATATAATAATATATAAATAATATAAAAAAATATATAATAATATATAAATAATATAAAAATATATAATAATATATAAATAATATAAAAATTAAAAGTATGGTTTTAATTAGCCTTGCTTAAAATTCAAGATATTGATAGAAAACACATTACATACATAAAAACAAATTGTGATTTTTATATAATCGGTTTATTTTACTAATAATTTGTCAATACTAAGAAAAGTATTATTTTCCAAATTTTCCCATCTAAAGTATAATATAAATAAACAATAATATAAATAAAAATTTCCCGAAAAATTTATGTTCCAATTTTAAATTTTAGATCGAAATATTATTGGTATCACTTGGCTTTTTGGCAGTACCTTATGGAAACAAGTGATATATCGACAAAATACTCTGTAACATTTTGCAACAAATGTTCACTATAATTTTTCCCTTTTTATTTCTGCTTATTTTGTCATTCGAGAAAAGAAGCTTCCATGAACGTACATTATATTTCACAAGTATTTTCGAAACGGAGAAAAACAATACAGAAATTTGCAGTTATTTCGTAACAGTTTCGTTCGATCCCTGATGATCTGTAAACGATAAGAGTCGATCATTGAAAATCTCTGAAGTTTTCTTCTTCGAGAGAATAATAACAGTAGAATAATATTATATAGATTTGTACAATAATATTGGAATAATATTGTATTCATTCAAATCAAAAAATATTATTCTTGCTCTTGACATTCATTATTAGATTATAATTTGTCATTAAAATAGCAAGAAATAATTTAGCAAGAAGTAGTGTGTGGGTTCGAAATTTTTAAATCTCTCGAAACTCGAAACGCTGATTTTATTTGATTTGAGGAATTTCTTGGTTTAACAATTGGACTTTTGTATAAACTTTTATTGGTTAAACCAAATACAAACGAAAACACAACAACGTACAAAAATATCTAATCCAGATTCTTGTTTAAGAGCATAATATTATTCTGAACTCTATTTGTTTTTTTTTTTTTTTTTTTTTTTTAATCAACTCGTCGATGGTGGAGTTACAAAATATCTCTGTTTTTTGATCATTCCTTCAGATGATATTTTGCATTATCATTCGAGGATTACGATCGATCGTATATATGCTTATATCCTTAGAAACAAAAACCGCGTTCGTATCGAGTATTCGAGATATACATGAATCAAAACTCTGCAAACGTGTCTTTACTTCCTAATTTAACGTTTCTTCTTCTTTATCCGCGTTTCGAGAGTTTCGAATCACGAGAAAAGCTACGAAATTTCGAATTCTTGAAACCCGAGAAACCCTCGCTTGATTTTCGAGAGGTTCCGAAGTTTTTGACATTTCGAAAATGACAGTGATGGACAATTTAGAGTAAGTGTCCATTGATGCTTCGTTCTGTTGATCTGAGAATATTGGAGTGGTCGAGTTACCTTGGATACGCTGACTTCTCTCGTGGATATCCCCATTTTCTCGTGATGCCGTAACTGTACCGGATAGATGATCTGATAGTAATGGCCCCCGATATTTTGTACTAGCTCTTGGTTTTGTCGATACTCTTGTAGTAGTCGTTCGGCCTCACCTGAAATCAATTTCCTCGTTCAATCGAACGTGCCAGTTCAGCCCTTCTGTCTTTAAATTTGTTTTGTTTTATCTGTACATTTACGGTCGCGTTAACGTATTATGACGTTAAGTGTTCTCGAAATCGTCGTTTAACTTCTAATTAATTAACGAAGCTTTTAACTCTAAATTTAATTAGAATTAATATTTACTATGTTAGAATTAACATTTGGAATTAAATATTAGAATTGAACTGATTGTACGAATTAAATAATATCAAATATTAGAACTGACGTTTATGTTATATTAATTATTTTTATACATATGTCCATTTATATTATACTATAATATATATTTATATTCATAATATAATTCTAAAATGGTTCATTAATTTATATATGAATTATATATATTGTATATATAAAAATACATGTATGTATAATTATAATACATTATACATATTATTAATATAATATAATTATATATATATAATAATAATTATTATTATTATATATATAATAATTACAATAATTATAATATATTAATTATAATATAATTATAATATAATTATATATAATATATATATATATATTATAATTGTATTTATTAATATAATTAAAATTAATAACATGTATAATATATGTAGGTGTATAGAAATTTGCAACATTTGTACATTTAAGGATTAACACCAAGGTTTCATTAAACTGCATAAAAAAGATACAATATTGGAATTTTTAAGTGATCTCATGTACTATTAGTATGCTGAGGATTAAATTGTATGACATTAAGTAAGTATAATTGAAACAACTAGACCGTGCACAATTAAAAAAAGATGATAGATAAATAGTTCACTGACTCCTGATTAAATTTAACATTTTTGGATTTTCTTACTAGACTTTTTTAGTAGAAAATCTTTTTTGATGTTACAGTTATATTTGTTATTATAATTGAAATATGAATACCAGTCAACAATTATGTAATTAAATATGTTTATATATTATATATATTATATTATACTTATTTATATCTATGTATTATGTTATATATATATATATATATATCTATTATATTATATATTACTATATATTATATTGTGTTTATATCGATATAATAAATATAATAAATATACGTGTATATAATTGTTGACTCACGTAATAATATTACGTAATATAATATTAAAATTATATATATAATTAAAATACATTAAAATTAAAATATAAAATTAAACGTCTCCTAAATTGAATTAATAATTTTCCGCGCACATAGATCTTTTTATGTTGTTTATTTACTAACAATTTCACTAAAAAAAGAAAAGTACACAAAATTAACTTACGCGATCATTCACGAGCAAACTAACATCAGGATATTCCTAACAATATTTAACCACTTGCGCTGGCAACTGATTGCGGACCATAACGAGTGACCGAACCGTATACAATAATTTGTCGCTTTCCATTTCTTTTGAACTCGCCGTTATGATACTACCGGATAGAAATTGTTGAAGAGTAATAAATTTGTTTTGCCTGGCTTATATTTCAATATACTTGAAATTATTGAGAAAATATTGCAATTTTCTCGAAACAAGAAATTCTCGACGTGCGCGGCAAGAGGTTAAACCCATTCGAAACTTCCTCGCCGCGAGGATAACGAGGATAATAACGATAATAACGTGAATCGTGTCGTCGGAGTCGAACGAAACGCCCTGTACAATTCACGAAATTCGGACGAGGAAGGACGAAGCTTCGACAAGGAGTCCGCGTCAAAGGAAATCACCAGGCAAATGCAAGGTGGATTCCCCGGGCGAAATCGGAAGGCAGCTGTAACTAACAGGATCTTGTTTAACCGGTCGTCTTCTCTTTCTCTTTTCATCGGCAGCGATAAACTGTTGCTGCCGCGAGCTACGAATGAGTCGAGATAATCAGTGAAGGGCCTCCTCGAAGCATGTAGTATCTAGTTTACCCTCTTATCGACTGTCCGGGCTTTGCCCGATTTAACCCGTCCCATTGAAAATGAAGTGTATGGATAATTACTTGTCACGCTTCTGCGCTCTCCCACTGTCGCCACCCCCTCTCCCTCCCCACTCCTCCTTCGCCGCCTCTTCGCAACACGTAGACGTTGTCGTGTAATGAATTACTACGCGGCAGAATTATCACCGACAGAAGCAACCATGCCACTCGAATCGAGCATCGTCCTACACTTACGTACCTACGAAATGGTCACAATAATTTGACAATCGTCCCCTCATTCACGCTCGCTTTAGCACTCGCAGGAGACACGACATTTCGTAGGAATTAAGAAACGACAGGTATCCCTCGACAAATTATTCGTTCGCTTTTTTTTTTTTTTTTTGTTTTTTAATTTTAAATGTACGCGAGTTGGAGATAAAAATATCGTCGAGGTTAATATACAGCGACTTCTATTAACCCCTTGCGCTGGCAACTGGTTCGCGGACCATAACGAGTGACCGAAAAACCGTATACAATAATTCGTTGCTTGTTTCTTCTTCTTTTACACTCGTCGGTATGATATCATTCTATCATTGGATATAGAAATTATTAAAAAGTAATAAACTTATCATTTGTTTTGCCTAGATTGCATTTAAATATACTTAAAACTCAGAAAATGTTGCGATTTGGAGCAAAAAATTCTCGACGTGCGTGGTACGCACGTCATTTTAGCGCAAAAGGTTAATATTCGGATGCTAAATGTGTATAATATACAAATATAATATATATATAATATAATATACAATTAGAATATACAAATACAATTATTACAATTTTATTACAATTTATGATTTATAAGCAAATTGGAATTACCGTGAGTATTATTATAACTTTGCAAAAAGAAATGGTACAATAATAAACTTGGGGTCATTTTAAACAAACTTGAAGCCTCTAGTTTCGAATGCATTTTATTCTAAGATGTTTTTACGCTATGTAGTAGATAATAGAGTAAAAATTTTTTTTTTTTGTTGAAAATGTTAAAAATTGTCGTAATATATAAAAATATTGAAAAAGTTTTTTTCATAAATCTATCTTTATGATGGATTTGAAGATTGAAGTTTCTCCTCTACAATGATTTCTGTACGATTTTCTTTTCCCCTTAATTTATTGAACTTTGAATATCAAACAGATATCATGTCAATATAACAACGAAAATGTTACGATTTTTTTTATTAAATATCACTTATTTATTGGTTTTGTATCAAGATTTTTATTACCAGTTGATATAGAACGAGTTTGTCTTGTTTTGTTTGAGGGTTGATTTTTCATTTAATAATTGTCCAATAATTTTAACCTTTGAATCCTCAATTTTCAAATTTTTATGCGAAGATGTTCTCAGACACATTAAAAATGCAATTAAAAAATCTTTAATATAAAAGATAGTATATAAAATAATATAAAGAATACATCGTTTCTCTTAATAATCCACATTACGTTTTGCTTTAAAATTCAAATGCAACGGCATTTAAATTAATTTTTACAACTAATTTAAAAAGTTAAATTGCAGTTAAATTGTATGACACAGTGTTCCCCACTAGCAGATGAAATATTTTCTCTAAAGGACATAAAATTTTCCAATATTGGAATTTACAGTGTTTTCTATGTATTTGCAATAGAAAATCATATATGAAGACTATTCTCTTCAATTATCATTTAAAACTAAATTTTCATCATTTTTATCTCAAATCTTACGAGATAATCTTACATCAATTTAATTTAATTTAATTTAATTTAATTTAATTTAATTTAATTTAATTTAATTTAACTTAATTTAATTTGATTTGATTTACTTTTCATTCAGGATTAGTTTTTTCCTCGATGTTAAATAGAATTAATGCATTTCAGTCTGTAACACCTGTTGACAAAATGCGTTCAAATACAAGACATTTGATCGAGACGCTACGTGCAGAATGAATTCGTCGTTTAGCTACGAGGAGGAGGTAACTCTAGCGATAACAATTATGCTAATGTTGCCTGGCTGACCCGTAAAGCTGCGAAATGTTCCTTGCAGCCAGCCAGCTCCATGTCCCATCCTCTCTCTTTTTCTCTCTCTCTCTCTCTCTCTCTCTCTCTCTCTCTCTTTTCTCTGATAAAATTCAATTAAACTTATTAAATGAATATGGATGTGGAACGTGCATATTACTCGCTGATTATTTTCCGTTCTAACTAAACGCAAACTGCTGCGTGGTGTCCTATGTTTGTCACGTTCGCGATCATTGGCAATTTAGAAAGAGTAGGAGATAAGTTTCTTAGATTTGCTGCTTATAAAATGGGCATTAAAACGTTGTGCCTTGATTATAATTAGTAGAATGCGGATTTTTGTGCAATTTACTTTGATAGCAAAGTTAAGAAATTTGTTTTCATTATTATATATTATGACGAGTTCCAGTTTCCGTGTTTTATATATTTTTTACGTATGCTACGTGCCCTTAAATTTCTCATAAAAATCCGCAGTCTGACGATTAGCGTTCGGATTTTAATCCTCGTTCATCTCTCATTTCTCCCAATTTAATTTGTCTCTTAGTATCAAATTGACAATGGTAAAAACGAATAATTAATATCTACAATGGAGAAATAGATAGTTAAATTCTTTTTTTGGTTAAATTTCTATGTTCAATCACGCGTAAGATTCACACAAATCCTCAGTATTATAATCCTTCATCAACATTAGTAACTGCAGGTATTTATTTAACAATTTGATATAGAAATTTATTAAATATAAAATATAAAAATTTTCTTTGTTTAATTTCAAGAGTAACAATATTAATTTCAGGATTTATAGCTAATTTGTTTGAAATAGTTTTTTAAAAAATTTATTGCTTTATCAACATTAAGTCAATTAGGATTTATATTAAGAATTTTATCTTTAGGATTAAATGAATTAGCATTTTTGCATTTACTTGTTTGTGCTTTATTTAAATCAATAATATTTACGTGTGTTGGTAGATTTATTCATTATACAAAAGCTATTCAAAATTTTCGTTTTTATAAAGAAATACATTGTATTTATAATTAA